TCTGTTTATTAATTTTGCATCATTAGAAATTTATGACCAAATTATGTCATTTCACATTTTATTATGAATATTGTTTATGAAAACTAATGGCTAATCTCTCTTTTGATTGTGATCTTAGCAGCTTATTATTAATAAATCAATTGGCTAATGTTTTTCAAAATTCTTGTTTAAAACGTTTTTATAGAGTCTTTTTGATTTAACAAAAAGGGGGAGAATTTGAGATGTGCTATAGTAAGGGGGAGTAAGTTTTTCAAAATCGATTTCAAAACTAATTTCTTAAACAAATCTTAAAATTACTCAAATGTTTTGTTATATCAAAAAGGGGGAGATTGTTGAAAACATTTTTGATATTTCGATATAACAAATTAAGTTAAATGAATTTTAAGATTTTACAAATGATTTTACAATTTTATATTCGATTCAATTAACCGAATATCAAATTATTACTCCAAGTTTTTCAAGATCAATTTTAAACCTTACTAAATGTGTAAAATTGTGATTTGTACTTAAACTATTTTTGAAACAATTTTCACAAAGTATTTTGAACCAAAAACAAGCCTTAAATCAATTATTCAAAGGCATGCACCGATGCATCGATGAATTAATTGAACATCGAATGCATTCCATGCACCGATGCACACTCCATGCATCGATGCACTCTGAATATTTTCAAAACATCGAATGCATTTGATGCATCGATGCACAAGCCATGCATCGATGCATCAGGCTATTTCTCAAACATCGAATGCATTTCATACATCGATGCACACTTGGTGCACCGATGCATCAAGTGTTCCAACGGTCAAAATATTTGAATTTTACACGAATGCACCGATGCATACTTGATCATGCATCGATGCATGAGACGCTCCACCTAGAAAAATTTATTGTTTCACACTTAAACGGCTCTATTATCCCCACTAATTATCACCAACGTTCAGAATTGATTCAAGGGGTATTTAAACAAGTTCTGGAGCCATTGATCAACAACAAGAAACATCAATCAACTAGAATCAAGAGAGAATCAAAGAGAAAGCATCAAACCTCAAGTTTGAGTATTTCAAGCCTATTTTTCATCCAATATTCATTTGCTTTCAAGAACACTTTTGTACTCAATTGTATTTATCCTTGAGTGTTCTTTTCTTTGTTCTAGAATTGTGCAAACATCTTACCTTGTGAGGTTTTCTTGTAAGTTTGCAAATTTGTAATCTTGTCTTTGGGAAAAAGAGTGTTCTCAAGAGTTGGGGTATACTCTTGAGGTTGTTGTAAGGTTATCTCTTTGGCCTTAAAAGAAAGAACAAATTAGTGAATTTGTTGGAAAATCCTTAGTGTGGATAGCTAAGGTAGTGGACGTAGACTTTGTTTGAGAAAGTCGAACCACTGTAAATCGCTGTGCAATTACTTTCAATTTTCTGCAAAAGCTTCCACGAAATTTTTAATTGCCAATTCACCCCCCTCTTGGCCGATTCCGTCGATCGATTAACTCAACACATAGCATTGTCGAATCTGAACTACATGAGGCAACAGAGGCTTCTGCTTCTAGCAATGTCTCTCCCTTCAGCATGTACAAGTTTGCTGCTATCTTTTTGCCTTTCAGCACCACAAGCGCTCCACGGAACACCTTCATGATTCCTTTCTGTGTTTTAATCTTGCTTGCATTATTATCCAACAATCCGTAGGATAATAAATTTTTCTTCAGGCCTTTCACGTGCCGCACATCTCAAACAACTTTAATTGTTCCATCATACATCTTTAATTTGATGGTTCCCACGCCAACGATCTCTAAGGCATGATCATTGCAACTATACACAGATCCTCCTGAGACAGGTTCATAATGATGGAACCATTCTCTTCTTGAGGTCATGTGATATGTTGCTCCCGAATCAATGAGCCATATATCTGTATATCTCTTTCTACCTTCCACGGTGGTTGACGCTTCACAGCATAGAGCATCTCCATCATCTGAAGTATTTGTGGTATTGCCTTGTGGATTGGAGTTTTTATTTAGACTCCAACAATCCTTCTTCAAGTGACCCTTCTTTCCACAGTTGTAGCACTTTAAATTCTTCTTGCTCCTCGACTTCGATCTACCATGTTTGTGACTGCTGCTTTGGCAACGTTCTGTTGATTTCCCTCTCATCGTTGTCAACGCTTCTGCTTGTTGCAGATTTACTTGTCTGTCTTCCTTGTTCTTGTGCCGATTTTCTTCTTGGAGAACAGCAGCTGCAACGTCATCGAAGACTAGACTGGTGACATTACTGTTTGTCAAGTTTATGATGAGTTGATCATACGAATTCGGTAGACTTTGAAGTAGAAGTTCAGCACGTTCTTGTTCTCTTATTTTACAACTTAAAGATGTAAGCTGAGAAAATAAAGTGTTCAGTGTATTTAAGTGCTCTGTCACTGAAGTAGATTCTGGCATACGGAGAGTGTACAATTTTCTCTTAAGGAAAATTTTATTGTGCAGCGATGTGGCCTCGTACAGTTTGGTGAGATGATCCCATATCTCCTTAGCTTTCTTCTTCTCCTCGATGCTTGACAATACTTCATCTGCTAATGCTAGATGTAAGTTTGTCATAGCATTCCCGTCCATTTTGATCCATTTGTTGTCATCTGTGAAATCCATCGGCCTTTCACTGATAGTTGCTAGACAACCGTCTTTTCTCAGGATGACTTTCATCTTCAATTTCCACAATGAGAAATTTCTCCCATTGAATTTTTTCAATATCAAATTTCGTTGCCATAGCTTGTTTTATGGATAGCTCCCACTATTTCACTATCGTGAATAGTTCTCTGGAACCTTCAAAGAATGAGTAATAACTTCTTACTTTCTTATGTTGGAGGATTCACCTTTTGGTGGCAACCACAAAGACAATAAGCAGATATTACACACTCTAATCTGGCTTGGATACCAATTGTTGCGGAAGACGGCTATCGGATATAGCAAAATCGCAACTGATAATTTGAGAAAATAAAAATGAAGATAAAAGAGACACAAAATTTACGTGGAAAACCCTTAAAAATTTAGGGTAAAAACCACGGGCAACGGTAGAAGAATTTCACTATGAGAAAATAGGAATTACAACCTCTCTCGATCTACCAAGGAGAAAACAATGATAATTCTCTCTAGATAAAAAGGAGAAAATAACTCTCAAGAAACTCTCTAAAATCTCTCTAGTATTGGAAGAAAGCTAGAATGATTTGGGATGATTTTGAAGCTAAATGAGCTAGGGTATTTATAGTTGAAACTTAAGGACTAATCTTATAAATACTCTAAATTACAATGACTAAAATTAATTATCCCATTACCCAATTTCAATAAAAATTAGGTGCCTAATTTTTGACTTTGACAAAATACAATTTGGTGCCTAAATTATTTGACTTTTAACACTAGATTCTGTTTTGGCTATATTACGCTACTGTCTTATTTCTGTCTTTAATATTTTAAATATTTTGTGTCGGTCCAATGTAATAATTTATAGTTGCACTCGGATGCATGTGTCGAATACAAATATATTTTTATACAAATACCACAAATTATTAATATTAATAATTTGTTAGATTGCAAACTATAACCTTTAATCCATTCTCCCTGCCTCCTCGACTTGATTAATTTCATTTTCAAATAAGGAAAGCGGCAACTTTATGACTCTGTTTTACATGTAATTTAATACTTGGGGTTTGACTCTAATGGCCTGCTTAAACCTGTGTTAGTGTAAATATAATACTAATAACATCCCGTCTTCCTTTTCGAAACTGAAAGTACGACGTCCAACTACTGTAATACCCGTTGCACCTTGGCATTAGTCACCTACAATGCAAGTAAACGTAGATTGATGTAAAGCATAGAATGAGAAAGTGACCAAGAAGCTTATCCACTGAAAAAGAAAAGAAACTGACCTAAAAGGCAATTTGGAAGTCACTGTCGCCAAAAGTTACTGTCCTTTCTGAGACTCTATATGTGCTAAAAACTTGCTATTGGAAAGTTGACGATAAGTGCATAGTGGAATAAAACAGATTGCAATTTGCCTAATCAATCTGAATGCAGGGAAAGCCAAAAGGGGAGCAATATTTTAGAAAACACCTATCTGCTTCTTCATGTGACTACAAATGGCAAAAGAACGAGAGAATGGGAGATTAGGTAAATATAAAACATGTCAAAATATCCAGCTTGGCCCAGCACTTGGCATATGTCCTCTAAGCCTTGTTGGAGTGCCTGTTATCCCCGATAAGTGCATCGATCATTGATTGTGAGGCTGAGTGGGTGAAGTCTGAAATTATGAATAGAACATAAGTAACTAATTCCGCCATCATTCATCATCCTACTTTTTTCCCATGGCCATCATTACTTGTTTCTTTGCCCCTGGTGAGTTGAGTCTAGAGGCAGAACATAATTATTGTTTCCAAGTGCCTAGTTACTTGGAATCAAATAAAATTGTTCATAGGCCTACTGACACAGAGTTTCACAACCAAACTCGTACATATGTAAATTATTATCTCCAAACGAATTAACAAGCACGTAGTAAATCCAATTTCAATTTGAAACTTGTGTTTATTTGCATGGTTGCTTGTTATGCCAGGAAGAAGAAGAATAGTAATAATATCCACGTATTTCTTTACTTTTGATTTGGCAGGGAGGTGGTTCAAACATCTAATATAAGCAAGTCCTGAATAAGTGGGAACGATGAAATGCAGTGGGCTGTTACTAGGGGTCAAACTCCCCATTCAAACGGATTAAGCCATGTCCCAACTTCAACAGCCCATTCAAACAGATGTGCAGTCAGTATACCCCGATTTTAATAGTAATCCAAAAAGGGACAGGAGCGTCTAGGGTTAGGTTAAGCCTCTATAAAATAATAAAATAAAACCCATAAGCCATAGGTAAACAAACATCAAACTGCTTCCACTGCTTCTACACGTTACTGATCCTTTGCGTTGCCTGTAGAGCTTATTGTATCTGTTCTTGGTTTTTCATTGTTTAGTGCCAAATTATTCGTCGGAAAACCTCAGTTCGTTTAAAAAGTGGGGAGAATAGTGAGGTATATCAAATTCAAAGGCCGAGAAACCGTTTCACTCGTCCATTGACGTTCTGATTGTCGCTCGTCCACACTTCTTTTCTTCACGTACCACCCCCCCCCCTCCTTTTTTTCCCCGCTGTTTCTGGATTTTCTTCACATTGCATTTCTTTTATGGAAGCTAGTACAAGTCCAGAGGGGCACATGAGATACCACGTATTAACTTAGTCCAGTGTCAATATTAGATTCACTTATTTTGGAGAACCGAAGAGAAAACGACTTTAACAATGAAAAGGGCACTGCTAGTTGCACAAATCACATATTGTAATCACTATCAACGTATTGCTTTGTATTGCAAGATGGCCTTTAACAATGTCCAAGAGGAATCCTTCCTTCTAAGCAGGGAAGGTATCTGAAATTCAATACAGAAACCTGCATTTATGAATTAAATGCAATAATATTGTAGCTATGTAATTTTCTTATATTTTATACATCTCATGTCACACTATGTGTTGAGTTTAGACTCGCATGAGTGCATTATCCATTTCTCTCAATTATATCTATTTGCTTTTCTTGAGTGGACGTGAAAGATTCTTTATACAGTCTACAATTCCTTCACAATCTGCTTCAGGAATCATGCAATCAGGCATGTCTTCAAAGTCATCCTCATATGAATGAGAAGACAGGAGGTTTCCGTTAGTCTGACAGGCCTTCATTGTCTTACAATGTTCAGCTTCATCATCTCTAATATTCACAAACACATCGTACAAATTATCTATGAAGTGTGAATGGACATCAAAATACAAACCACTTCTGTCAGTTTGCGTCAACAATTTAGCAACTAGATTCCTATAGTTTATCGTCACACCCTATGCAGGCCATTATTAATGGTCTTTATGATTACTACAAGCGGACTTGATGCAGAAATCACACTCGTATAGACAACACTGTATCTAGTTAAAGAATGAATTTCTAATTAACTTCTTCTCTAACAATGTAACACATATAGGCTTTGCGATGTGATAAAGTAGGACTGTGGAGGAAAAACCCTGTCCATTACCTATTTTTGGTCTTCGTGAACAAGGAGCCCTAGCAGTTTGAAATTCATCTGGACGGGAAATGTGGACGAACTGTTAAATCCCAATACGAGATATTAAAATACTGAACCATATAATGCAAAAGGATATACTCACCAAACAAATACAAATCACCTCCGGTATAGTACTTGATAGCAACCTTGGGAGCAGGCTTTGTTTTCAACTCGTCTACAAAGAAACAAAAGAAATATCATATAAAAATTGGGAAAAGGCAGTCAGTTAACAATTAAAACTGAAATGTATAGATGCAATGCAACAATCTAAGACACGTCAAAAAAGCCCTCAACACCAATTAGTTGCCAGTGACCAATTAACTTAGATGCGCAGGATAATTTGAAACTAGAGCTTTTTGTCGAACCTGTGACAAATGATTCATGTACAAAGTGCAAGCTAGCTTAAGATTGATGATCAGGAAATATGAAGCCATTGATGATCAGGAAATATGAAGCTGTCAACTTACCTCCTTGGACCTTGATAAATTTATCATAGGTTTCAAAGGCATGACTCTCTACACATTCAGAAAAGTGATCTGCAGTAGTCATGAAACCAAATATGTTAAATTAAGCACCACAGATAAATGGAGGTGAGCAAGCTTCAATCTCAGTCACCCACTCTACAGATATATAAAGCAATCCCTTTATTGTCTTTGGAATCTTTCTAGTTAAAACAGATATATAGGTTGAAGTTAAGGCAGCAGGCCGTTGGTTCATGGTTGTATGCAAGAATATCCCTTTGCATAACTACCAAGTTATGGCAATTTTAGTCTCAATAACTGCTGATGTCCATCAATAGGTTTCACCTACAAGCTCATTACTGTATAAGGGCTTCAATTGAGCAGGAAATGTCCTTTCATCATGCCAAATAAAGACGCCAGAAGAACCCAAAAAGCATGTTTGTGTGCGCATGTGCAGAAGAGTGAGAGGCATTGTGCAAAGTGAAATCCAGATAAAAGTACTTACATGCCATTCTTGGGCTTAAGGCATACATGAAGACTGTCATGAAATAATAAAAAAATGCTATATGTTGAGCAAGAAAGCGGTCAAACCACCAAGAATTCCCTCCCAATTCCTGCGACCAAATGTGATAAGAGAAGTCACGTAACTGAGACACAACATTATACGATTGGTATGCACCATGCTAGGTTTTTCCTTTTCCCCCTTAAAGCAACATTGAAGATACCGTCTATTATCTTCATCAATTATAATTTTCTATTCAACTCACTGGAAATCATCCCATTCTAATCACGGTTTATATTAGCATTTAACCATTTAAGGACCTTACTTCCATAATTAGCAGGTGGTGCATCTCATTCCAGCTCTCAGCAAAATGCATTTTCAGATAGTCCGCTCTCCTCCACCAATCAAAACTCTCATACAAGTGCAGGACAGATATAAAGGCTGCCATAAAGAAAAAAAACAATACCCAAATATCAAGAAAACCCTTTTAATTATATCCAGGAAATGGAAGATCATGTAAGCAAGTTCAAGCAAACTGTTAAAACAAATAAGAACACCCTCACACAAGTACACTTTTTTTCTGGTATAATGAGGACAGAGAATTAAGGATGTAAGAAAAAAGTTGCTAACCGAAATAAGGAACTCTAGCAATTGTTTCCAACACAAAAAATCTGGCATAATCTCTGTCACGGTACAATGTATCAAGTATCTTTATAACTGAATCCTTAAGAAAAAAGTTGCAGCAACATCAATGACAAATCAAAATTGGCTGAAAAATAAAGGGTTCAATTTGAAGTACAGTAATTCCAAAAAAATCAGAAAAAAATCATTTTACCGTGAGGAATATGTTCACAGATTGTTCAACCTTAATGACACATCTCTCCAAACCACTAGAAGATGAATTCGCACGTGATTCCCCTACTTCTTCAATCTCATTTCCTAGGGGACTTTTCGTCGGAAATGATATTTCTATGACAACTTCTTCTTCTTCGTCTTCCTGAAGGACTGTTGCTTTGACTGGATACAACTTCCTACAAGAATTCAAGTTAAAAACTATAAACTAATTTTTTTTTAATTACACCGTGGGGAGCCGAAGGATCAGTCGAACAGATTACCTGGATAGCCGTCGAATGGAAGGTGGGGAGCTGCAACGCAAAGGGTTTTGGAAGTTGAAAGGAACACGGGTTTTAGGATGCCTGGCTTTGAGGTAAAAGGAGGAAGCTGAGATTGCAAACGCCGAAGAAGAGAGACTCATCGCATCGAAATTTGTAATGCCCCGTGGAAATTAACAAATAAACAGAGAAAGGCAAACGGAAAGTGGCAATTGGTTGTTAACAAATGTGACCTGAGGTTTAGTTATAATTTTGGGGTAGTTCTGCGGTGCGGCGCCTAAAAAACGGTTAATATACGGCGTGACCGGTTAAATAAGTGACCGGTTAAAATTTATACCGGTTATGTTATATTATTTAACCGGAAATATTATAAAGTACAATAACATACTAGGTAGCGCTTATATAATGTAATAGGTAGTGCTTATATTTACCTAATTTATAAGTAAACCGGTATATTTATACCGATAGTATTACAAATTTACCTATTACATTATATTATATTGAAAGTGTCCATACTTTTTATAAAAAGGATCGATACTTCTTTTAAAGTTATGTAATTTATGTTTCAATTTTTTGAATAGTGTTTCATGTTTTCCACCTACAATATTAATTTAATAATTTCATTTGCACAAAAAATTATTTGATTATTTGATATTTTATAAAATATTATTTAGAATTTTTAATTTAATAATAATATATCGTAACGTAAAAAATAAATCATTAGACGCCTATAATTACTAAATTAAAATCTTAAAACTCACTCAAAGATAACCTTAAATTAATGTTTTCAACAGTGAAAAAAGTATGGACACTTTTATAAAAAGGATAGACCTTTACAATATAACCACTACCTATTACATTATATAAACGATACCTATTACATTATATAAGCGCTACCTATTACATCATATTTTTACCTATTATATTGAAAGTGTCCATACTTTTTATAAAAAGGATCGATACTTCTTTTAAAGTTATGTAATTTATGTTTCAATTTTTTTTAATAGTGTTTCATGTTTTCCACCTACAATATAATTTAATAATTTCATTTGCACAAAAAATTATTTGATTTTTTGATATTTTATAAAATATTATTTAGAATTTTTAATTTAACAACATTAAATATATATCGTAACGTAAAAAATAAATCATTAGACGCCTATAATTACTAAATTAAAATCTTAAAACTCACTCAAAAGATAATCTTAAATTAATGTTTTCCACAGTGAAAAAAGTATGAACACTTTTATAAAAAGGATAGACACTTTACAATATAACCACTACCTATTACATTATATAAACGATACCTATTACATTATATAAGCGCTACCTATTACATCATATTTTTACCTATTATATTGAAAGTGTCCATACCTTTTATAAAAAGAATCGATACTTCTTTTAAAGTTATGTAATTTATGTTTCAATTTTTTTTAATAGTGTTTCATGTTTTCCACCTACAATATTAATTTAATAATTTCATTTGCACAAAAAATTATTTGATTTTTTGATATTTTATAAAATATTATTTAGAATTTTTAATTTAACAACATTAACCAAAGATAATAATAAATATGTAATATATATGTTTATTGTTTTTAATTTAATAATAATATATACAACATCAAACACATTCCAAGCTATAAATTACAAGCTAAGGACACTTGAAGAAGCAAGAGAACAACTATCCAAGCAATCAAAAACGAGAAAATCCCCACTAGGCCGGATATACCATGTGAGCATTTTGTGAAACACTCTCGACTCTACATCGAGGTGAATTGGGCTATTTCTAGTAACCCGTTTAATTGTAGACCAATCTACACCATTTTCATCTGAATCCCCTGTATTCGCTACACCTAAACCCTCCGCAATAGTTTCTGGAGATATATATATATCCTTCCCCATGACATGTGTATTAATTCCTATTATA